CATTCGGAGAGAGCCATCCCCATGAGACGTCAACCAGCCCTTGGGCTTCTGCTACAGCAGATCTGGAAGCTGTTTGATAACTCTGGTGCAGAAGCGAAGAATTAAAAACTGCAAAAGTACCTTGTATGAAGGGATCATTTGAGCTTCAGAATCCTTTATTTTACAATGTCAAAATGTGCTTTGGGATTTTTTTTTTTAATTTGTTTTTTGTAGTTTGGGTTTTTGTCGGTTTTGTACAACATCATCTTCTAAGAAAGAAACTGAAGGATAGAGAAAGCAATCATGCAGAACTGGAATGACTCTACAAAGAGTCAGAGGTATTTGCACCCTTATTTCCACAAAAAAAGCCTCCTACCACATGAGCTAACCAAATAAGTAGCAGCCGTAGAAGTCCTCGTGAACCACTTGTTGGAAGATGATCAGGAAAAACACCTTACCACAGCATTTCACAGAAAAGTAACTGAGAGACATGGAACCCCAGTGTTCATTCTCAGCTGTTTCCTTGCAGTATTATACAGTTCTGTACTTGTGGCACAGACCATCCTCTTGCCACTATCAAGTATCCCCCTTTCAACCCTACAGCTGTCAAAATAAGTTACTGTAAGGGAAGTCCAGCTCAATCCCCAGTGTTTATCCTGTTCTAGGAAATGGGCTGAACCACTTTATCTGATAACAACAACAACAACAAAACCCCACTAAACTTGCACAAAAGGGGCAACATATTTGTAAAAAATCAGCCTGTATTTTAACCATTTCAGATGAGTTACTTACAGGGTTTGATCACATAATACAAGGCAATGTTAACTAAAAGTCAAAGAATAAGCTAAGTTGTATTACAGCACGTCTCAGTCAAAGACTAAGTTGTGAGCTTAACGCCATGAACTACACATTGCCAAAAAGCTGACTTCTCAGCAGGATAAGGCCACAAGGTATGTAGCAGCATGACAACAGACTAATCCCAAATGAAAGCAGGCTCAGAACTGTCGAATGACATGCCAAATGTCCTTACTCTGATGCTACAAGTTAATTGTCTGGCATCCCATGAAAGTCTAAGGGTGAAACATAATTGGAATTCAGATATCTGCGTTTAATAAGACAATTAGTTACAGTTGTATTTTGGGACAACTGCAATTAGAGTTACAGCTAATGAGCTAGAAAATGACAAGGAAAAAGCTATCAATCACACATTAAATGTGAACATAAACAACGATGAAAATGCTTCTCTTGTTAGTTTCAAATGTACTTTTAATTTAGGTCTGTAAATTAATGTCTCATGGGTATCAGTATCTGTGTAGTTATGGAAACCTCTAGTTTAACAACAAGCATTTTATCTATTGTGATGAATGTTTGATCTTATTATAATTAATTTCTAACTATTGAGAACAAATAGGAAGGAACTGTAAATTCTGAACATATACAGCCTCCAAGGATATCTATCTGGTGACAAGCCTAGCACCTCAAAACTCAAACTTGCTGTTGCTGTTGTTTCAATCCACTGTACAGCGTCAAATCACTTCTGCCACAACAGGAATTTGCAATAGTATCTACCACTACCACAGACATTAATACGCTTTCAAAAAGTATCTTAACCAACCTGTTGGCACCAGAAGGGCCTGGGGAGTTTTAGATGCTACTGCATCTCATGTGTTGGTTAGCGCCCTGAAGCAAAGGTGGGAGAAGAGAAGACATCCTCATCCTCAGCATGCCACCATGTGGTATCACCATGTGTAGCCCATTTTTAACTGGGGGCCTGGGGAAACACGCTTGGGCACTGATGGAGGCAGCTGAGAAGATGCATTCCTTTCTGCCAACCCTTTGCTGAAGGCAGTGACCTTTAAGGGGTTCAAGGAGGTGCAGGACTCATTTCTTTAAGGATGAAGCCAAATTAGCACAGTATCACAGGAACCAGCTTTTCTTTGCCAGAGGAAAAGCTTCATGAGTTGTCAACCATAAGTGACATTTTAAACACATTTTTCGCTAAATACCCACATAAAGATAAATAGACAGTATTTTGACCTGAACAACAACCGTTTCAGTTTGCCATAAGTCACTTAGGAATCGATTTATTTTCAACTAAACAGAAATCCACAGAGATTTGAAAATATTAATCTAAGTCAATTTAAAACAAATTAATTCAACTGATACAACTTTCTTACGAGGATACAATAAAATACTACTTGTGGGAATCTGAGACCTTCTACTCATGAATAAAAAGATGGAGTAAGAGAAACGAGCAACTGGAAATGGAAAGCGAATGACCATTAATGTTTCAATTAGCCACTGAACCACAGTAAATAATGCTGAGAATGCTATCATCCAGTTTTTCATCCTGAGTAACGATAAACAAAATTGATATTTTGCAAGAATTGCCTCCAAACGTTGCCTATGTGGGAAGGGGGTTTTTGCTGTTGTTTTGGGGGGTTTTGTACAATAACATGGCATAATTCTGGCCCTTGCAAAAAAAAATAATTTTCACAACTGAGGAAGCCATATTTTTAAAACAATAAGTCCCTCACATCAAATTTTATCATTTGAAATAATGATCATTGTATAATGACAGAAACACTGTGAATCCTATTTCAATGCAATGACTCTATATGCAGCATTATCTATGAGCAGAAGAGTAAACAGTGAAATCAGTACATCAGTTGGTGCAGCTTTCTACATGAAATAAAGTTCCTGTTTCAAAAGAAAAATTCTGCCCTACTTTTTCAAGGAATTAACAGTACTATGATAAGGGCAGAAGAGGAAGTAGTAACAGCAAGTATTCAACATCAACTGCTTGGTATCAACCATGATGGAAAATAAAGGTCACACAACAACACTTCCTGAGGTGCTGAGAATTTTTTCTCTAAATTCCTTTATTTTCCCTCTTCCACCACATGATCTAGTTCCACCCAGAAGAGTCAGACAATGTCCTGGATCGAAATAATGCACCAGATGATTCTGAGGCAGAGCTTATGTTTCAGTAGCTGACAGAACAGGGTATTTTGTAAGGTCAAAGTGGGCACAGCCTCACCTGTGTCAGCTGTTCTTCCTCGACGTTTACTTATTGCCAGCAGTTCAAGCTAGCCAGGTGCAATCTCTTCCCCACTACAGTAAAACTAATTCCAGTATGACATTCTTTAGGACGGTCAATCATACAAGCAACCCTAGTCAATATATCTTCTTAAAGCTTGGAATTAGCAAGTTGTCAATGCATTCTTCAACAGTAGCAATTCAAGGTACAATTATGAGTTTAGGACTACGGAGCCTGCAATCGACAATCCCAGTGGGTTTCAAAAGACACGCTCTTAACTATAAGCACACACATGCAAGTACCAGAATGTTTCGCTTTCATAGTTCCTCATCTTTCAATTTTAATGCAAACATTTTCAGACTCACTTAGATTTAAATAAATCTGTTATTTATAATTAAATTGTTCAAGTTTATAAGAAGACAAGAGATGCATTTCATAAGAGAAGTCTAGTGTCTCATCTAAATTATTTAATCATACAATTCATTCAGTAGAGTTAATTTGTTGGCTGGATACTGGGAAGGGGTTTTATGCCATCACTTTACTCTTGAAAGACACAGACTTAAAAGTTTTAAGTAGGGCAACTGACGGAAGATATTTGTGTGGCCATGTGAGGTCAAATATACTTCAAATTGCGCAATGAAAACAAGTCATGTGCTGATGTGAAACTCACTATAATATCAGGTTTAGAGTGTCTTCCAAATATGCTCTTAAATATCTTATAACCTTGATATCCCCCATTAAAACTCTGCACACAGACAGAATAAGGTTAGTTAAGTGACACATCATGTCTGATTCCAGGAAGAAAGATGTGCAGAGCTGGTGCGCACAGCAAGGTTAAAGGAAAACCAGTGATCACTAAGCTTCTTACATTCAGACGTGAGAATTTAATCTTTTGTAAGAAAACTCTGGTTGTCATGTAGATTGCAGTAGAATTTATACTCTTTTGGAACTGATTTCTTAAGTGACAGATGCAGGAAAAAGAAAACTAATCATATATCCTTGACAAGAAAATAAATGTTGACTTATTAGCTGCTGAGTCACAGGGGAAAAAAATCCTCCAAATAAATGATACAAGCTGAAATACACCTTTTATTGGCTGCTTGAGCAGACTAAGGTCTTAGATCTTTTTAAAGCTAAGTAAATAAAGACTGAATGAGTCTGAATGCATTCTACTTAAATGACTCATGTTAGTATTTTGGCTTTTGGTCTTCATGCTATTAAGCTCAAGAAGGTATTTCTAGAATCTGTAATAGAACAAAACTGAAGGTATTAGGAGTGAACAGCATTCCTTGATCCTGCAATCAGATTCACCCACGCAAAGAAAATTTCTGTATCTCTCTCCAAGCTTTTGTAATTTGTTCCCAGCCCTTCTAAGAGATGCGCCTTCATTTTCCACATCCATTTCCACGCAAAATAAGTGCATCTTAAAGGATTTGTTGGGTTTTTTCTTGCTTGGGTGTTTTTTGTGGTTGCCTTTTTTTTTTTTTTAAACTGATTAGACTAAAACAAAACTGTTAAAATTAGCAGGCAAAGATGGCAAAAGGTGAATGTCATGGCTGAACGCCAGAGGGCTTCAAGTAAATTTCTTAAATGTGTTCTCTGTAAAGATAATTCTTCCCCGTGGCTGGCTTACTAAAATCAGGAAAAGCTTTTCCTGCTATGATCTTGGTTCCTCAGAGACTAAACGCAAGAGCCCTGTAGCACAAAGTTTGAGCTTTTTCCCTGAACAGAACACAGAAGCGTCAACTGATGGAGGAAAACCAGCAGAAGTGCTACAGGGAAAAAAACCCTCACGAAATCCATACACAAATAACCACATCCCCTCACCCCCAACACTAATCCAAACCAGACACGTCAGTATACTAGAGAAGAAAAACGTCCGGTTTAAATTATGTCTTAAAACACACTGTATCTAAGAGCTTAGCACGCACAAGGTATGTCAGAACTGCATGTGTGTGTATTCCATTAAAGATCTGCTCACCTCTCCCACAACTTCAATGATGTCACCAACTTTTAATTCCAGTTCATCTTCATTTTGAGGCATATAACTGAAAGCCACCTGACATCTTCTTCTTCTGTTTCTCTCTCCTGGTGGAAATGAAGGAAACAGGGAAATTGTAAAATGAAAGCAAAATTCCATGCCAAGCACAAGACAGAGGAAATGATTAAAGATGATACATTATTCTTTGAGCGCTATTAGAAGAATCTAAATGCTTGCAATGCTTAGTATATCTGCCTAGAATTAATTTCTAAAAAGAGGGTGGAGAAAAGATTGCTGGTGCATGTTATTTCTTTCAACTATTTTTACAATTCAATACAATTAATAAATGAAAATAAATTGTGAGGATATTTTCCTTTCTGTAACATTACTCAAGAGTCAAAATTCAACTAATAGATTGTGCTTCCTAGAGACAGGATGGACAAACTTTACCCAGAGGACCTTTCCAGGTGTATTTGCTACAATATCTCTTCTAGGCTAATGCTCTATACACATGGTATAGGCAAATCCAGAAACCGGAGGGGTCGGGAAAATATCCAAAACCTTGTGACTTTTACTCATATGTACATAAGCTCTCCACTGATTATTTTGTCCTGTATCTTTTTCTCCACAATTCTTTCACAGGTGTACAAATATCTCACTAACCTTTTCTTTATATACATTCTTTTACATATATATACACATACAGATATACATGTATGTATGCATGTGTATGCACATACACATATTTGTAAGGTGCATATTTATGCACTAATATCAGAATAAAGAAAATAGAAGGAAAACCTGTCCCAAAGGACGCCCAAAGCTAGGTGTGTCGTCGGGTTAGCGTGGTTAAGACAGGCTAATTTTGATAATCAACCACCTACTGGAAATGATGTTACCAGCCATACTTCTCTTCAGCTTGGACATCCAGGCTCCCATGAGAAATTGGTATGAGGGTGCATCTTTGGATGCATGACTGGAGGGAGGCTTGAATTCACAGCTCTGAATAAGAGTAAGACCCTTTATTGACCCTTCTGCCATCACAGTTTTAAGACAGACAGAAAGATGAAAAGATTCCGTTCCAGAGCTTTGTTTGCCAGATTAGCTGGCTTACATATAACTACAGTCGTATGATGCGCAGCAGAGCAGAGGAGAGAACTTTCCCAGTTCAAGCTGCCGAAGCTTGCTGCCTAGCCTCCACTAGCTGAAGGACAACTTACTGGCATGAATCAGGACCATGTTGGAATGCAGTGGAGGAGCAGGTAGAAAGAGAGAAATCATTCAAAACACAGAATTCATTGATTACTCCCTATTCTCTAGAAGATGTGCAATGTATAAACCACACTAGGTCCTATTATTTACATAAATGTATCCATACAAACATATGTACACACACTTTACACAAGTAAATGTACTTTCTCTCATGCCATTTCTCTTAACTGTTAAACATGCTCAATACACACCAGAATCACTTGTGTAAACACTGTCCAAGAATGGCCTTGATCTGACATTAAATTACAGAAATGGATCTTATGGTCAATCTATTATTTCCCCTGCAATGTTTCTTGATAATCCTGCTCTAGGGCAAACAATAACAAAAAGTTACAGAACATTTTTTTTTTCTAATCTATTAACTGAAACTAGAGAAAGAAAGGAGAAGGAAGTCATTGAATTTGGCTTTCTGACAGTATTTTTCACAGCCACTGCAATCCTGCGTGAGTGGCAGCTTTCTGAATGTTAAAATTAATACCTTAATGTAATGTAACCAAACTCGCTCAAATTGGCTCTTTTTTCCACCTACAGATGACTGTTCGTTCTTCACCACCTAAACTAAAATGGTCCTAAATTGACAACTTTACGCAGCTGCATTTAAAATAACTTAAGTATAATAAATACCTTCCATACTGAGTGCTTCCTTCGTTGTGCAAAAGGGGCTGGTTATTCTCCCTAAAGATAACATTCCCACTATGATTTCTAACATCAAGTAGCAGCTGATGTGCTGATGTTGCCTGATGTGACAGATGTCAGTTGCCATCCTGTTTAATAATCAATATTGTGTGACTCAAGAGTGAGTATTTTTGAGATTACTAAGAGAGTAAGAAATAAACACAATTGTGGATGTTAATAATAATTAATAATAATCCTTCCCCTTCCCATCCCATGAAGATTTTTTATTACTGTATAGAAAATCTAGGGAAAGTCTGCATTTATCTCCATTAGTCTCATGGTTGTCTCACTGCTCTCCCTCTCTTCCCAAATCTTTCTCTAACGAAATACCTAAGTGGAGAGTAGCAAGCCAACAAGAGGCATAGACTCCATATACCAACTAGATCCTCCCTCTGGTCTCATGCAAGACCACAGATCCAGCAGTGAATCTCTTTGATTTTAAAGAGAAGGTGCTGCTGGATCCCCATGTGCATGCTAATGTTTGGAGCACTTGAGCAGAGCACGAGTTGTGTGAAGAGCTGTACAACCAAGTGGTATCTGTTTTTCCTTACACTAAAGCAACCTGGGTTATAGAGCAGTATAAGTTTTCAAAGAAAAAAAAGCTGGTAAGAGAAGAAGTCAGAGTAACCAAGCCACGTGTATACAAAAATTGTTAGTAAAGAAAAACTCCAGTTTTGCAAATGCAGTATTTCCACCCCAGCATCACCGACTTTTTGTCTGTTTCTTAACTAGCACAAAATCTCCAAAGGCAGCATGGTCAGGAACCAGGGACAATCAACAAGCAGTTTAGACAGAAATATTGTAGTCTTACGTCTTCTCTTGCCTCTTCCCCTTTTGTTAATATTGCCACTTATTGCGGAGTATTATCACAGCCTATGCTTTAACTGCCAGCCATCTGAGATCTAAATGGCACACTGTGACTTTAAAAATGTAATTTGACTAACTTAATTTTAAACCATACAGGGCAGCAATTCTGCAATGAAGACTGTAGAAGCTTTCTAATCTAATCCATTTTTTGCTTGTAAATTGATGAAAAAACAAATTGTAGGTTTTTTGCGGTTTTCTCCACACTTGAGCATAAACTGAGTTACTTCCAAGTGAAAAGTTACCATGTGGTGAAAAGGCAGGTAGTAAACCCAGTACATTAAAATCAGAAAAGGTGTGCTGCAAAGTCCTCACTGGGTTTTGAAAAGCTTAAAAGAAGGAAATAAAAAGGATCCATGAACTTTTCCTGGCCCACGTATAATAATTTGTAGCAAGCAACTTGCTGCACGCAGCACCACACTGCGCTCTGCCTGCTGGTTGCAGTTCTAGGCTTTTTCAGCTCCTGTAGCTGTGGCCCAACATCAGAAGTGATTTGAAGGCAAAACGCCTGTAGAGCTGCAGGTCAGGAACTAACTGAGCTACACTGTATTCAGAACAAGCTATCATACAGAAATAATGTCGCTCACCCTTGTAAAAAAACACTGGCTCCTATTTACATAGTTCTAATAAACCTCGAAGGAAAAAAATTCACATGCCTCATTTGTGCAGTCAGTTCTTAAAACAAACCAGGCAGCTACAGAGAATTTGCTGTGCGTGTGCAAGCGGGCTAACAAGCCAGCGACTGCAAAGCATATTGCATCTAAAGTGATGGCACCAAGGCCTCAACGACTGCGCCGCAGAGCATGCCTGACTCTGCTCCGCTCCTTGTAAGGGCTGTGTCAAAGGCACTGAACCCATACAAGTGTCTGCAGATCTAGCAAGGGAGGAAACAAAATGGACCTCGTAATGCATTGTGAAAGGTGTCACGTCATGATGCACCTTAAGGGCAATACTGGGTGCCTCCTTATTTGCAGCTGTTGATTGCCAGCTCCGGCCCACCACACCTGCGGTGACCTTACCCTCTGCCCTGAGAGGTGAACTGCTTCTCTGACCATTCCCCAAACACTTCTGCTCAGAGCAGAACTTGGTAGCTTAACGGTGTAAACAACAGGCTTTGCTAAACCAGCTCCTTCTGGTCTTTATCCTAAGATTCACCTATCTTCATTGCAGGTATCCCTGAGTCGGATGTCTAAATTTGAGCCTATCACTCAGGAGTGGAGAGAACCTAACACCTCCAGAGGGTATTTAGTGTCACTGTAAAACAGACAGCTAAAACATATCAGGTCAATGTTTTCTGGAGGTGCCTTTTTCTACTAGTGTGGCTAGATCAGACCTCAACACCTAACTTTAAAAGGTCTAAAGTTATGTCAAATGGAAAAAGCAATGAACATATATTTAGAAACGTGAAACAAACCAATAAACCTTTGAGGGCACAAATTTAATTCATTTCAAAGTGGTGTTTGATCAGATTCTGAAAATGATGTGGTTGCCTGTGACAGTAGGAGACCATAAAGGGGCTTCCTCCAGCTGCACACATGCAAGAGAGAGCATGATCTCTAGACATTTAAACACCCCTCTGGCATCAGCAATGAAGACAAAAAAAGAGGCAATGACAACGCACTGGCGTTCAATGCTTACCTTTATAAGGGGCACCAAAAGCTAAGGCCATGCTACACAAGAAGTCACACTGGCACTTACATGCTGCCATCGGACCCAGTAAAGGTCACACACTGACAAAGCAGCATGAGATGAAAAGTGCAGCAGCAGCAGAAGAGAGAGAAGTAAACTATTTAAAAATGAAATGAAATTTTCAAATCCACACTACTTTTTTTAAACTTAAAACTTCCATCATGAAAGAGATGCTTATAGAAATGTGTACATGCGTGAATGGGTTATATGGTGGTTTCTATAAAGCCTACTTTTCACTGATGCCAATGTCTTTGTAGCCTGTCCTGTCTGTGAAAATCACATGGTTAACATCACTAACAGAAGGTCCATCCACTCTACATACTAATCCACGTTTTTTCCCCACAAGAGAACAAGCACAGCAATCCATTTTGTAGCACAGCACAACTATTCTACAGACTCAAAATCTATATTCCAAAAATACCTTCAGAGAACAAACCCATGGAGCAAATGTCTGTTCCTCTCCCTGCTGACAAAAGGTATACCTAAATGGCTGACAATCTCTTCAAAACTAGGCTCCACAGTTTTGTAATCAGTTCTGTTTTAAAAAGAGACGTATTGATAACATTGTGCCTCAGGCAAACAATGCAAGCCAATTGTTCCTCGATTT